CCAGTGAGATTCAGTGTGTGTGGGAGCCGTACCCCAGTGAGAGTCAGTGTGTGTGGAACTGTACCCCAGTGAGAGTCAGTGTGTATGGGACCGTACCCCAGTGAGAGTCAGTGTGTGTGGGAGATGTACCCCAGTGATAGTCAGTGAGTGTGGGACTGTACCCCAGTGAGAGTCAGTTTATGCGGGAGACGTACCCCAGTGAACGTCAGTGTGATTGGGACTGTACCCCAGTGAGAGTCAGTGTGAGTGGGACCGTACCCCAGTGAGAGTCAGTGTGTGTGGGAGATGTATCCCAGTGAGAGACACTGTGTGTGCGACTGCACCCCAGTGAGAGTCACTGCGTTTGGGAGCCGTACCCCAGTGAGAGTCAGTGTGTGTGCGAGCCGTACCCCTGTGAGAGTCAGTTTGTGTGGGAGCCATACCCCAGTGAGAGTCAGTGTGTGTGGGACCAAACCCCAGTGAGAGCCAGTGTGTGTAGGAGCCATTCCCACTGAGAGTCAGTGTGTGTGGGAGCCGTACCCCAGTGAGATTCAGTGTGTGTTGGACTGTATCACAGTGAACGGCAGTGTGTGTGGGAGTGTTCCCCAGTGAGAGTCAGTATGTGTGGGACCATACCGCATTGAGAGTCAGTGTGTTTGTGAGCCGGACCCCATTGAGGGTAAGTGTGTGTGGGCCTGTACCCCAGTTAGAGTCAGTGTGTGTGTGAGCTGTCCCCCAGTGAGGGTTAGTGTGTGTGGGGCTGTTCCCCCATTGAGAGTCAGTGTGTCTGGGAACGAGCCCCTATGAGAGTCAGTGTGTGTTGGTCTGTACCCCAGTGAGAGTCAGTGTGTGTGGGACTGTACCACAGTGAGAGTCACTGTATGTGGGAGCCGTATCCCAGTGAGAGTCAGTTTGTGTGGGACTGTACCACAGTGAGAGTTGGTGTGTGTGGGAGATGTACCCCAGTGAGCGTCAGTGTGTGTCGCTCTGTACCCCAGTGAGAGTCAGTGTATGTGGGCCTGTACTCCAGTGAGAGTCAGTGTGTTTGCGAACCGTACCCCAGTAAGAGTCAGTGTGTGTGTGAGCTGTACCCCAGTGAGAGTTAGTGTGTGTGAGGGCCGTAGCCCAGTGAGAGTCAGTGTGTGTGGGATCCATACCCCGGTGAGGTTCAGTGTGTGTGGGACCGTTCTGCACTGAGAGTCAGTGTGTGTGCGAGCCGTACCCCAGTGAGAGTCAGTTTGTGTTGGACCGTACCCCAGTGAGAGTCAGTGAGTGTGGGACCATATCCCAGTGAGAGTCAGTGTGTGTGGGAGACGTACCCCAGTGAGAGTCAGTGTGAGTGGGACTGTACCTCAGTGAGAGTCAGTGTGTGTGGGATACCGTACCCCAGTGAGAGTCATTGTGTGTGGAACTGTACCCCAGTGGGAGTCAGTGTGTGTGGGAGCCGTACCCCAGTGAGATTCAGTGCGTGCTGGACTGCATCCCAGTGAGAGTCAGTGTGCGTGGGAGTGTTCCCCAGTGAGAGTCAGTGTGTGTGGGACCATACCGCATTGAGAGTCAGTGTGTTTGTGAGCCGTACCCCATTGAGGGTAAGTGTGTGTGGGCCTGTACCCCAGTTAGAGTCAGTGTGTGTGGGATCCATGTCCCGGTGAGGTTCAGTGTGTGTGGGACCGTTCCGCACTGAGAATCAGTGTGTGTGCGAGCCGTACCCCAGTGAGAGTCAGTTTGTGTTGGACCGTACCCCAGTGAGAGTCAGTGAGTGTGGGACTGTACGCCAGTGACACTCAGTGTATGTGGGAGACGTACCCCAGTGAGTGTCAGTGTGATTGGGACTGTATCCCAATGAGAGTCAGTGTGGGTGTTACTGTACCCCAGTGAGAGTCAGTGTGAGTGGGACTGTACCCCAGTGAGAGTCACTGTGTGTGGAACTGTACCCCAGTGAGAGTCAGTGTGTGTTGGACCGTACCCGAGTGAGAGTCAGTGTGTGTGGGAGACGTACCCCATTGAGAGTCAGTGAGTGTGGGACTGTACCCCAGTGACAGTCAGTGTATGCGGGAGACGTACCCCAGTGAGAGTCAGTGTGAGTGGGACTGTACCCCAGTGAGAGTCAGTGTGTGTGGGATACCGTACCCCAGTGAGAGTCAGTGTGTGTGGAACTGTACCCCAGTGGGAGTCAGTGTGTGTGTGAGCCGTACCCCAATGAGAGTCAGTGTGTGTGGGAGTGTTCCCCAGTGAGAGTCAGTGTGTGTGGGACCCTACCGCATTGAGAGTCAGTGTGTTTGTGAGCCGTACCCAATTGAGGGTAAGTGTGTGTGGGCCTGTACCCCAGTTAGAGTCAGTGTGTGTGGAATCCATACCCCGGTGAGGTTCAGTGTGTGTGGGACCGTTCCGCACTGTACCCCAGTGACAGTCAGTGTATGCGGGAGACGTACCCCAGTGGGCGTCAGTGTGATTGGGACTGTACCCCAGTGAGAGTCACTGTGTGTGGGATACCGTACCCCAGTGAGAGTCAGTGTGTGTGGAACTGTACCCCAGTGAGAGTCACTGTGTGTGGGACCGTACCCCAGTGAGAGTCAGTGTGTGTGGGAGATGTGCCCCAGTGACAGTCAGTGTATGCGGGAGATGTACCCCAGTGAGCGTCAGTGTGATTGGTACTGTACCCCAGTGAGAGTCAGTCTGTGTTGGACCGTACCCCAGTGACCGTCAGTGTGTACGGGACCGTACTCCAGTGAGAGTCAGTGTGTGTGTGTCTGTACCCCAGCGAGAGTCAGTGTGTGTGTGAGCCGTACCCCAGTGAGGGTAAGTGTGTGTGGGACTGTACCCCAGTGACAGTCAGTGTGTGTGTGAGCTGTGCCCCAGTGAGAGTCAGTGTGTCTGGGAATGTACCCCAGTGAGAGTCAGTTTGTGTGGGGCTGTACCCCAGTGAGATTCATTGTGTGTGGGAAGCGTACCCCAGTGAGAGACAGTGTGTGTTGGACAGCACCCCATTGAGAGTCACTGCGTTTGGGAGCCGTACCCCAGTGAGATTCAGTGTGTGTGGGAGCCGTACCCCAGTGAGAGTCAGTTTGTGTGGGAGCCGTACCCCAGTCCGAGTCAGTGTGTGTGGGAGCCGTACCCCAGTGACAGTCAGTGTGTGTGGGCGCTTTACCCCAGTAAAAGTCAGTGTGTGTGGGACTGTACATCAGTGAGAGTCAGTGTGTGTGGGAGATGTATCCCAGTGAGAAACAGTGTGTGTGCGACTGCATCCCAGCGAGAGTCACTGCGTTTGGGAGCCCTACCCCAGTGAGAGTCAGTGTGTGTGCGAGCCATACCCCTGTGAGAGTCAGTTTGTGTGGGAGCCATACCCCAGTGAGAGTCAGTGTGTGTGGGAGCCGTCCCCCAGTGAGATTCAGTGTGAGTTGGACTGTATCCCAGTGAACGGCAGTGTGTGTGAGAGTGTCCCCCAGTGAGAGTCAGTGTGTTTGTGAGCCGTACCCCATTGAGGGTAAGTGTGTGTGGGGCTGTACCCCATTGAGAGTCAGTGTGTCTGGGAACGTGCCCCTATGAGAGTCAGTGTGTGTTGGTCTGTACCCCAGTGAGAGTCACTGTATGTGGGAGCCGTATCCCACTGAGAGTCAGTTTGTGTGGGAGCCATACCCCAGTGAGAGTCAGTGTG